ACCATATCGAGAAGATGTTACATTTAAAAGGATATCTCCAGATAAAATTCCAGATATAACTAAATTCTTTCCAGAGCAAAGTACAGTTGCTGTATTTGAGGAATTATGTGCTGAACCAAAGAAAGTACAAGAACGAATTATTCCCTACTTTATTAATGGCCAGCATCAAAATATCTCACCCGTATATGTAAGCCAGAAATATACCCAAACCCCAAAAATTATTCGTGAAAATATCTTACACCTAGCCTTATTCCGGGGCTCGGTATTTAGAGACGATATTTACAGAATCATACGTCAATATACAGATGATTCAAAAAAAGAATCCAAGATCATTGATAAACATTTGCGGGATTGAGATTTCGTAGTTTTTGATTTTACTAAGGCAGTAGATGATCCTCTAAGTGTACGGCTTGGTTGGGACACCGCTTTAAAATTGGATTAGTAGAATAAGCTTCTGATAATCAAATACTGTAATAATTTTTTCTGTTATTTATTAGTGCAATAATATAATACATCTATCTGCCACTTCTTATATTATAACCTTTTAGGGTTGCCTTCGGCCTGAGAAGCTGTCCGTATCCAGGCGTGATTGGAGTATGAGTGATGTAAAAAATTATGAACTTGCCATTATCTACAATAGGGATTTTTGTGCTAGATAAAACAGGCATATATTAAAAAATTAAACACATCTCGTCAAATACCAACTTGAAATATGTGTCTTTAGACACTAGCTCTGCTATTCCACGAACATTGTCTATATTAGTCGATTGTTTATAATAAGCAAACATCTTATTTATCTTTCAACCCCAATTCCATTTTGATAACAATTACCGACTTCGTACATTTCATCAATATTTCTCTTTGGAGTTTTTTCTGTTCTGTAAAATTTCAGAAAAAATAAATAAGATACCGGGAATATAAATAATTAATATAAATTAATAAATCGGATCATAATATATTATTATTGCAAAGCAATGACCCAAAGGTTCTAATTATAAATTGCTGTCCTGACGCATTTCTGCTCTGTAAACAAGTATAATGTAATGCTAATTCCTGAGCAGTTAATCCATCAGGGCGATAAATCCACTCAACAACTTTTCGTTGTATAATAATACATGCTTGAATTTTTCTACCAACATCTCTAGCATGTTCAATTTTTCTGATAGCATTGTGTATTCACAATTCATATCGATGTAATGCATACTTATCATCGAAATTATATTTAGGTTTTTGCTTGATTTTCAAGTATTCATCGTGACTTACACCACAGTATTTATTACCGATACATGAGAATTTCCAATGTCTCTCTATTCCTATATGATTATAATTACCTATATTTTGAGTTCGTTGTCCGCAATATATTAACTGGTTACAAGAGAAACAAATTGCTAATCTGATTTCACGAGCATATGGAGTATTATTGGGAAATAGTATCAATTCCTTAGCTTCAAGATATTTTTTGCTTTGAGTAAGTAAAAGACCATGTTCTCTAAAATACTGTAAACGGTCCCAAATTCGCTCTTTCTACTCACTAGGAGTTTCATTTTCACGGACTTGAGGCATTTTACAATATTCATACCATTCTTCAGGGGTACAATTAGTGCCGGGATATAGCGATAAACTCATTTTTATGATCTAATTACCGATTATAGAAAACAATAGATTTTAGTTACTTTTAATGTTTTTTGACCTATATATACATATCTATTATGAAATTCAATTTTCGTAGAATTTTGTTAAATTATAATGGTATATATGTTTATGTAAAATTCGAGGTGGATATATTCAAACTATTTCTCATCTTGTAGTTCAGTGGACTAAACCGCGGGAAGCTCATTCGGTCTTCCTCTCCTCATCATACAGACAATTATAGTGATGATCACGCCCTCTAAAATTGGGTTTATAAGCAGAGAAAAAAATAAATTGTGGGGAGGTAATAGTCGGATCCCGGGCCTGCTTTGAAAAGCAATGACTGCACCTGAGAAGATTATGCATAGTCAGAGGCCCTATCGCTTCTATAACAGAAACGAAATTTTTTGCTTGACTAAGTATACTCATAACAAATAGTTATGGCAATTGTCTTATCAATACAAAACAATCTAGTATAAGAAGATAGAATATTGGTAAAAAATTTCAGACAGAAAGCTAAAAAAAAAGATTTTATATCGATATACATATTTATTTGAGCCTTATACACGTAGCACTTAAGAAGTTGGTTATTGTTACGTGGCTTGTTATATTTGGTGTTGTATTAATAGTCTCGATTATCCTAATGGTATGTTTATTTTTAAGGGGCGGATTGCCTGATCATCCAGGCCATAAGACACTGTTGAATAATTACTAACAAACAATTATTGCACACAACAAATCAATCAACAATCGCACATTTTCTATATTCGGATTAGATTATTAATAACTTGTTGAAAGACGTATTTAGGAACTGTAAAAATTTTACACGTTATTGCTATACGTGTATTTAAGCCGGATCTACAAATTTAGAATAACCGTTATTTTATACATTATAACTATCACAACACATGTTAATTAAACATCTAGCATCATTTTTTTTACTGAAGTAACATGATTTATTCTCTACGATAAAGAATACACATTTCAGACGTAATGTTAAATCGGGTTAATAATCATTATTTTCATTTGAGATCACCCGATCCGAGATAAGCAAATCCGAGATGTACGTAGATTCCCTATATCTAGATCCATACTTATAGACTATGTTGTTATTATATTAACTCATAATTAAGATGCAATAGGCGCAATGAAGGTACAATGAAGGTACGATGAAGGTGCGTTGAAGGTATGATGATTTTTTTTTCTTATAAAAACGTATGGAAATATTATATCGTGAGTGTATCTCAGTTGGGTATCCGTCGAAATTAAATTTTTGTGATGTGGACCGATGATCAATTACGCTTATTGATCGATGAAAGAAAAAATCGAAATGTGGATTATTATAAGTAAGACAATAACAAGTCCCACAAAATTAGATATAAAATTTTGCGACACTCTCCTACAATAAGAAAAGGCGAAGAACATAAATTTATGAGTAAACTCGATTAGATGATTCAATCACTTTTAAGATTAAGCATGGTTCAGAATCAGTTTCGAGAATGAACAAATTTTTAGTGCGATATTTGATTTACTGTTACAATCGACACATTATACTGTATGTGGCTAAGGTTGATTTGGTACTGTCGTGATGATATTCCTGATCATAACTTGCTCATTGATATATTAGTCTTAACGGGCTGTTCCTGATATTGGCACTACGATAATTACATATATAAGATGAAAAAAAATCAGATTTCTGGATTCAGATATTTGAGAAACAAATATGTGCGTTATTTTAGATGCAAAGCATCCTCCTTTCAGGAGACATAATCATGTATAAATTTGAAAGGTAAATTAATGTTAAGCAATAAATAAAGTTCATATTGGTATGTCACACAAAATTGGGTACATTAAGGTTTTGTGATACTTTCCTGCAGAATTATTTCTCACGGTTAATTTTTTATTAACGCTAGCCACGACTAGAATCGTTTCCTTGTTATATACGATCTAGCGATAAGAATAAGCTCAAATAGGACCTAGAAGGGCAATAAGAGAAAAGCTTATGATGTTCTTAATCAGTAGTTTTATGGGTCATAGACCCCAGGCTTTGCCTGTCAAAATTCATATGTCACAGGAACTTGGAATTTCCAGATCGCCGAGATCGTTAACTTTTTCACTTGGTAGTAGCAAGCGTCGAATCTAAGGGGTCTATGTCCCTAAAAGGACGCTAAAATATATTTAGTATTTGGGCTTTACAACCGAAATGGAGTTGCTTTGTTAAGTGTGATCTGTCAGTATTAGAGTAATGCAAATTACTAATCATGTAACTAGCAAGTTT